CCTCTCCAGCAAGTCCTTGGTGGCTTTCGAAATTCGTTCCAAGTTTCTTGTGCGAGGCATTGAGGCGCTTCCACCACAGGCTCTCATTCCTCTAAGAAGCAGATCGTAGTCTTTTGTCGGGTTCTCCTCGATGGGCCAGTCACAAGTGGTTAAGAGCTCCTCCAATCTGACGCCGTAATATGCGCATTGTCACCTTTCTCCAACGCGGTGACAGATTTTCTTTTCCAGTTTTCGGCTGGATCGCACTTTTACTCTAAAGAGACGATGATCTGAACCGCTGCTGAAGGTACCAGAGAGACGTCCAGTAAGTACCACCTTCGTTTGGGAATGTGGTTGATTTCCGTATGAGTCGTACCGTGGGTGACTCTCATGTCCACCACCGGTGTTCTTTTTTCATGAAGATGGAGTTGCTATGAAAATGTCGTGAAAGCCCAACAAGACGGTTACCCCTTCATTCCAGAGTCCTGATGCAAATCTCCCGATTCTATCTCCCTTTCTTCTGACATCCCGATTTTCGCATTGAAGTCACCCACAACAAATTTGTAGCAGGTTTCTCTTTGCGGATGACTTCCTCCAAATCCTCATAAAAAGCATCAAGTTTTGAGTCATAGGTGCTGATGTATGAAAATAGCAGTTGATGATAGTGCTACTTTTCTGATGCAGAGGACTAAGTCGAAAGATAGCCAGGCGAAGTTATAGAATCTCATGCGAATCGACAAGATGGGCTGTACGTGGGTACAGGACAAATCCAATGTCTCCGACGTTTCATGGAACTTTCTCACCACGAATGATGAACGTGCCATCACTCAACTGCTTCACGTCCGTCTTCCTTGACTTTGTTTGCTGCAAGGCGATTACGTAATAGCTGGTGTATCCAGCAGCTTCGAGGAAGGCGTGAAAATCGGCGTTGGTGGAGACTGTCTTGGTTAGGTACAGAGCATGAGACAATCTTTATGGCGAGTCATTGAGGCGTCCTTTTGGTCCGAAATCCATGGCGTCCCAAAACGTGACACTAGTCTTGATAACATCCGACGCCGGAGATGTGATCCAGTGCGCTGGACTTCTTTTCCTACAAGCTGTACAGGCAAAAAAAATAAATCCCCAAACCTAGCAGCCTTGCCAGGGCCTGGTCTTTTACCACAGGCAATCGCTGAGCTAGTTGGATCAGGGAACCACCTAACGACTCTATCAGCCAGACGGTGGGGCTTTCGGCACGGCCTGCTCTTAGCTGGAAACCGTCGAACTCCTCAGCTTGGAGAGTCCTGCTGGAGGATAAACCTCCACTGTACTTCCCACTTCGACACCTAGAATCACTCCCGCGAGGCCATCGCGGTGTGATAAAGAAACATTATTTATATTCAGTACCGTGACTGTGAGTTTCGACCATACGCTTACCATAGACCTACAGTGAGGCGCTATTGAGTGAAGTTGATATGATATCCATCATCAGCATGGTAAGTAGATTTCAAATCTGAAGTTTTGATATTTTGGAGGATGGTGCATACTGCGGCAGCGATATGATTGTGCGATGTCGTCGATGTATATCCGACATTCTCGTCCGTAGATCAAAGTCTCGCATTCGCTGAAATTTTGTCAACTTCACTGGTAGGGCCCTACTGTACGGTGACGGCATGCGTATTGTCAGAAGTCAAAATCACACATCTGCCTGGAAGCGGTCTACTTTAGTTATTCGTTAGGCTAACAAATAAAGTTCTATATGACACGGTCGCGACTTATTGCAAAGATACAGTAGGTGTGCGGGATTAATTCAGACTGGATCTGTATAAACATAGCAAAGAGGTACAACACTCTATTCACAAAAATTGTCTCACTTACATAAGCATCAAAATGCACCAGAACTTCAATAAAATTCTGCCATATGATTCAGCTCAAAGTCCAAATAAAAGAGACTGATAGGTAAGGAATCATATAACCCCAGTAGGCGAAGATTTGGAGTATATTGATCTAAGCACTTTAGCTTCCTATCTTCAAGCGAGACGCTTCGTGACGAATGAACAGTCAGATCAATTATTCCATTCCCGGAGTTGGCTTCCTACCAAAGCTGTTTATTAAAGCTTTTCTATTACAGGTATCTGGAAGAAGTTATGGCGGTGCGCGCTTCACACTTTCAATACGGTATGACGTTTTTTTTCTGCAGAAGGTGTGAGTGCGGAAGGCCAGCCATCTATCCAAGTTAATCTTCGTATTGCAAAACTGATAAAACCCCAATGTTTCTTAAATCAAATAAATTATTTTTCAGGCAAAATTTTTTTCAAAAAACCATTCTTTTCTCGGAATAACCTGTACTGCTTATGTAATGTGTCATTAGCTTTTGGGGTTTAGTAAGCCTTTTTCCTATTAGCTATTAGTCAAAATTATTAGAGTGTTACAATTTTCCATGACTTCTCTAATGTTTATTTGCATGCAATTTCTCATTTTCTTGACCGAATGTTGTAAAGGTTGTACCTTTTCTTTCTGTTAAATTACGCTAGTCGTTCTTTGAGATTCTTGGCATAATTCTTACCTATGATGTCAGAAATTGAAAGTTAGATTGGCGGGAAAAATTTTCGACATCTGCTACCGTTGTTTGTAGCCAAAAATAAACAAAACGGGCTTATATCTGTACAACCTATAGGAAAGATGCCATGTTCTAGAGTCTTGCTGGGTTTGTAATCCCAGTTGCTTGCCTCAAGGACACTCCAAATACCGGTAGGCCTCGTCTCTAAAATCAGTGAGAAGAGATATGAGTGTCCTGTATTCTGCAAAATGTGTCCTTAAGAATTATCATATTTTTCGACCAAATTACTTCACACAACCATAGAATCTCTCAGGAATCGATTGATTGGCTTCTTCAAAATGAGTCACTGTAATTGTGATGTAACGGCAAAATTATCTAAAACGCAATGGCTTACTCTGAGTAATGAAGAGCATTGCATTTGGATTAGCTTAATTTTGAATTTGAAATAAAATTTCAGAAAATTCCCAAAAAGGCGTAGTTTCTCTACATAAATTTGGAGAAGGCCGTTAACGTGATCTCTCATTTCCCACCAAGAGTAAAAAAAAATCAAATGACATAGATTTTAATTGGATTTATAGAACAGCACAAGTCAGAAAAAATTCAGGTGACAGAAAAAATTCATTATTTAAAAAACTAATATAGACTTCGCTTGCGATAGAATTTTTTCCAAAAGCTTTCACAATTCACTACCTGTTTTAATCAAGTTTTTCGTATGCTATGCTTTTTCTCGCTATGATGCAAAACCTGAATGATAGTGGGGAGGGACAATGATCATCAAGACTCGCTTTTTATCTCGATGGTATCCGTTTCACTACGTACTCCACGATCAGCACGATGCGGTTAGTCGTGTCATTAGCCGCTATCACCTTATCATCAGGTATCATTGGTGAGTATTTCTAATGTCACTTATTTCAGTGGTATGTAAGAAGCTTTTATAACTTCTACGATAATTTAAAAAGCTTAACAATTCAATTTTGTGTTAATGAAAATTACATTAGTTTGGATATAGTAGAATTTGCTAAAAATCAAAATAAAATTTGCTGCAGAAATTTAACGAATTGCGTTTAGGGCAAATTTTTTGTGCCTATCACTTTAGTCTACCGTGCGAAAGTGTAGCTTGTGTTTCGATTTAGCTAATCAGCTCAAAAATCACTTGAATTCACAGTTTTTTTCTGTAGGGATTTAGTTGCTGAAGAACCCACTTCACCAAATAAAGTGTGCAGCTTTATTCTCTATAATTTGCCGTCTTTATCTTTGCTGAATGTCCAAGAAGAAATTAGGCTTTCAACTTTTGCAACAAAGAACGGCTAATTTATCAGCCCAAAATGCCGCTCTCTCGGAGATTTTGGAAAACCAATTATAGCTATCTACTCTACTTTTAGAAGTGTAGAAAACAAGCTAAGGCTTGAAAAGGTTTTAGAAAAAGGAATAAAAAAAGAAAACATTTTCTGCATTAGTTGTCTGCCGCCAACCGCCAATTCCCTTCAGAAACACTGGTTTTTCTCTTCTTTTTGTATTATTTTGGTGAAACATTGAAGAAAAAAGATAATAAACGATTATTAAAGATAAAATTTATCCTAGTTTTTAAGAGTGAGAGTATGTCTTCGAAGCTAATTCATGTCTTTGCAGTGTGTGCACAACACATAAGATTCCGGCGCCAAGCTTATCCTCCAAATCCTGCACCTTTTCAACCGCGCGTTGAGGACTACAACTTGCCGCCATTCTATCAGGTGATCGCTGATGTTTACTTCAATTGATTCCTTATCTTCTGGTAAGAAAACTGTTTATTCAGCCTCATCCTGGTAGAGATGCCTCTTCATTGACGCCAATTTTCCCATTTACTAGTGAATTCAACAATGGTCTAGATGTGAATCCTGGCACAAGGGTTACGGTAGATGGAAATCTCAATGTGCCCATACTTGGATGGGGGATATGGGATTACAAAGGTAAGCACTCTTACATTAAATTGATCCTAGGATTAGGGAATTTCACATTCTTCTGGAGGTGGGATCAAAGTGGGACGAGCGAACACGCGAGTTGGCTTCGGCTCACTTCAGCGACCCACCAACGTTCTCGGCATCAGTCCTGATACACTTGCTACATTGGCTAAAGATGGAAACTTCAACCAAGCACGACGTGAGCACTTACCCACTCATCTACAATACCCAACTTTTGACGTATTATTTGTTTCTTCCAGAATTCGTTCCATCAATACCCGTCTCGGTTCTACCCGGAAACTTTGTACCGTTGCGTTGCAAACCTCCATTTTGTAATCCATTCGTACACAACACTGCATTCGGCGTTGACGTTGAACCTGGAGATGATTATCTTTTCGATGGTGGTGTCGACTTCCCAATCCCGCTCGCACCTTCGGGTGTGGGTGTACGATTCCCACTTAGTGGTATGTTTATTCGCATATTATCCTACCTTTCAGGTCACCGTTAATCGTCATTGGTGCACTCAAGCTATGCATGCCCATTTCAGGTGCTGTTAACGTGGGTACCGATCCATTGTTGATCACTTACGGACATGGTATGGGTCCAGTGGAACCACCAGGATTTCGGTCAAAAAAATCAAGTTCCAGAGATAATTGATGCCATAAATTACGTCTCTCATTTTCATCTCAACTCACTTGTGCTTTAACTAATTTTTGTGCAATATTTCAAATAAATTTGCATTTCATTTACCAGTTATGATTTTTCTCGTATTATGACAATCCCAAATAAAATGTCTGTAAAGTTTAAGTTCAGGAAGATAGTAAGCATGCTGAGAAATCAAAGTTCGTATATTTAGCATTTCAGAACACATAATTTTTATGTGCTGCAGACTGTCAAAGAACTGACGATTATTGCAATTGAGGGTTTATTCATTCTGCTTCATCTGAACTCGATAGATAAGATGGAAAATTTTATAAAAAGGAGAGATGAGTCACAATGCAATGCCCTATAATTTGATGAAAGCAAAGAAATTGTCATGATTGGCTTCGTATATGATCGCATAATGTTGGGATATACGAGTAATGAACATTCAGATGTTAACTGATTGGATAGTGGCTGAATTCGGCCGTATAAGTAAGTAACATTAGCTTTAAAAAAACGTTTTTTGATTTGCTTAGTGGCTTATAGCATCTAGGATCAGTACCTACAGATTTTTTTACAAATAGTAGACTACTTAAAACTGTTTTCGTACGCAAACTAGACCCCAATCAGTTTCCTTTTGGTGACAATAAGTTTGCTGTTGATATAAAGGGGGAAGAAATTCGCGAAATCAAACCGTATCATTCGGTGAAAGTGGTGACGATCCGGTCATAATGCACTCTCTCCCGCTGCTTCTGTTGTTTCTTATATCCGGTACGTCTTGTTTCCAAATTAAGATGTTTTCTGGAACGATTTGGAGAAAATGTACTGAATGTTTTGTTCAAAACTTATCTTTTCACCTGGTAGTTAGACACTTTTTTTAATAGTCGAACTGTCCTCTTCAGTAGTATTTGAACAGTTGAAATCTTCTAGTGATTTTTGCTTGAATTTACTTGCAACATTTACTTTACCTTTTTTACTCATATTTATTTTTAATCTTTCCTTCAGCAGTTTACTGTCAAAAATATGGGAACGATGAGCCACTGGTTGTACCAGTGCAAGGTCCGCTTGCACAATTCCCGGCATTAGTAACAGCCGACAACTTTCCACTGTTCCCCTTTACTGACCAGTACAACACCGGCATTGAAATCAATCCAGCAAACAAAATAGTGAGCTTACCTTATCAGAGTTTTAATTGGATGAATTTACCAAGAAGTAATGTCGATTTAGTCTTTGGCTGGCGATATGAACATACCCGTACCTGGTTGGGGGAACTTCGATATAGATGGAAATGTATATTTTGGGAATGTGAACGTTGACACAAAAGTTGGATATCAGATTCGACCAACGAACAGACTGAATATCAAGCCAGAAACGCTAGCTTTGCTTGGGCAAAATCCCGAGTTTCGAGAGGCTCGCAGTGAGTTTTTTTTTTGACTAATTTTCAAGTGAAACTCAGGGCGAAACTGGATCCAATCCCTATAAGCTCAAATA